GACGACGCTGCGGTCGGTTCAACTTTTTTCGCTGCGGCCTCAACGTCGAAGCTGGTCGGATGCTCTCCAAGGCGCTGCTCTTCAACGAGTCGGTGATTGCCCTCGGTGTGCCGACTCTATTGGCATGATGACAATAATTCCATGTATATCATCTAGACATTGGCTGCAATGCCATGTCGGACAAGGAGCTCGAGATCATTGCGATTCAGCTCGAAGAGAACCGACTTGTCCACGACCGGATGCAAGCCAAAGTGTATGCGCTCAAAAAGCAAGTGGCCGCCGACGCGGACGCCAAGTACGACGCCAAGTGCGCACTCGAGAAGGCCGAGGCGATCGCCAAGTGGCACGACGACAACGCGGCCGCGCGCCACGCCCAGTACGAGCGCGACGCGATTGACGCCGCGCGGCGCAAGTGCGAAGAGCACGCGCGCATCCAAAAGCAAATCGCCGAGAAGGAGGTCGCGCGCAAGTGGCAGGAGGAGGACGCGCGCTTGAAAGCCGAAGCCAAAGCCAAGAAGAAGAAAAAGTAGCCACAATGTTGCGATAGACGAGCACGATCAATGTGAAGAGGAGTGTTGATCCGAACGGTTGAATTTGCAGCAAATGGCGCGCCGACCTGCTGCCACGTCATTGAGGCGCAGGGTCCCAGCACTCGAAAGCTCTCGCTGAAAGCGTCGTCTCCATCACACGGCGTTCAAGTCTCTTCTCAACGATCCTTCCTACAATCTCTCTGCATCTTGCCGAGACACGCCTCGTTGCACCCTCGACGCACTCGACTGTGTCTGTGCACTTCCTTGGCTGCATGCCGTCGCCATCGAAGCTGGGATAGCGACGTTCATGGCGTCGCAACATGCGCGAGCATGGTGGTATAGCAACGGAGTCGACCTCGACTGCATCGCTGCACGTCCCGTTGCGCCATTGCAAGCACAACTCGAAACATGAGCATACGGACAAGCTCCGTCGTTTCGATGCTTACAGGACGTTGGGAATGTCGATCTCCTTGAGCGAGACGTGGTAGCCCGTGTAAAGAGGGTGCGACTCGTCCATTTCTTCGTCCGTGTCGAGGAAGCCCGGCATCATGACGGTCGCCGTCGACTCGATGCTCGCCTGGATGTGCACAATGCCCTGGCTCGCGAGCTCGACCGGCTCCTTGTAGATGTGGATGTTGAACGACTGGTTCTTCCACAAGAAGCAGATGCGCTTCTGCTTGATGATGCGGCGGCTCGGGTCGGCGCGGTGGCGCACCGCGTACGTGTACTCGCGCGCCGAGAGCACGCGCTTGAGATGCACCCTAGGTGAACAATCAAACACCGACGCAACGTGAAACGCTGCTACGTACGGCTCGCCCGTGCCCGCAATCGTGCGGACCGTCGTCATACCGTAGACGGGGATGCCGTACTGCGTCCGGCAGCGCACAAAGACATAGTCGTCCGGACCATCTGCACCGCGTGCTCTCAGTTCTTCAACCAAAGAATAGAATCCATCGTACCGCTCGGGTGGGGCATGAGGTAGACCTTCTCGACTTCAAACTCTTCGCAGTGGACGGGCATGGACGCGGGCGACGGCAGCGACCGGAGGAGGAACTTCTTGGACGACTTGACCGTCGACGGGAGACCTGTGAGCGTCGCGGCGCAGTTGATGAGTCGTTGCATCTTGCTCTCAAAGCCCGTCGAGTTGTCTACGCAAGAAGTTAGCGAGCTGCTACGGCGTCGTTTTCAAATAGAGATGCACCGAAGACAAAGAGCTTGGGGTGGCCAATCCACGCGTGGCAGATGCGCTCGTCGACCGCGCACGCTTGCTCGATCGTCTCGATGCGCGTGCCGTTGTTGTCGAGCGTGTAAAACTGAGGCGCGCCGTTCGCCGTCGTCACAAGGTGAAAGACTGCGTTGTAGCGACTAGGATTGCTAGGTCAGCACCATCGATCGCATACCCAGGACGTCGTACGTATCACGGAGCGTGACCGTGTCGAGGTCGTGCTGGAGCTTGAGGTCTTCCCACTCCTCCGGGTCCATGTAGGCCGAGCCGTCCATGGCGCCGCGGTCGCAGAGAATGACGCACGGCAGCTTGGTGTCCCGCGCCAGCGCCATAAAGGTGTCTTCGAGCTGCATCTGCGTCGACAGAATGGCCCACTGGAAGTTGATGATGTC